TCCCAATAACATCTTAACTATCCTGTGAAGCAACGCAGTGTAAAGTTTCTGTTTCTCAATGACAATCTTTAAACATCCCAGCTCTAGCTAAGATCTGCGTGGAAGAATGGGCCAAAATAACAGGGGTCCCGCGATTCACCTTTGTAACGTAACCTTTGATGGCATTGACCAAGTATTCAGTTTAACTTTTGTTATTTGCCAAATAATACATTTCTGCACAATTGTACGCATAAACTGTATACTTCATTACTTTCTTTTTTCCACATTTCACTCACAGTTGACGTTTTCTCTGATAACAATTCATGACTCTCCTCATTTTCTGTGAGTGAGAAAACTTGCACAATCAGCAATCACCAATGTACCTTTCTGAAGTCTTCTGTTCTTCAGGGCAAGAACAGCAACAACGACAGAAAGAATTCCACTCAGAGGCCCAAACGTGACGGCCACTGGATATACTTCACTGAAGGGGCCTGGATATAAGGATTAGTTTAGTTCAGGGGTCGGCAACCCGCGGCTCCGGAGCAGCATGCGGCTCTTGAGTGCTCCTGGAGAGGCTCCTGGAGCCTTTTCAAACATGTCTGAAAATTTAGTGTGAGGGCTATATTTTATTTCTAGTTTGAAAGTGGTTTCTGTAGGAGGAAAAACATTCTTTACGTTTTTAAATGCTGTAAAAATGTGTATAAGTGATATTTAATTTCAACATTTCTGTCAACGTAGTGCGTCATATCCTATGACCCGCGGTCACGCGGCCCCGCCCCCTTCAGCCGCTGCTGTAAACAAACCGGCGTGTGTGCATCATAGACTGTAAGTGCACATGGATCCCAAAGCTAAAACGAGAAAGAGTCGATAATAAGACTGGACTAAGAATGAGAATGAACATTTTCTTTCAGTCAATGAGGAAGGACTGCTTCATGTTTGTAATGAGAAGTTTTGTTGCAACACGAGGAACAATGACGCGCAAAACACCGTACACGGTGATTACGTGAAGGATTCATTCATCAAAAATTCAGAGCACCTATTTTCAGACTTCAAAACCTTCTCAAAGACGGTGAAAGAAAAGGCCATTAAGGATATTAATTCAGCTCCAGCAAACTTCAGCCTGTGACGTGATCGATATGAGCAGACAGTGATGCAGGTATGTGACCTCTGAGCCCAAAGCAGATTTATTTACTGTATTTCTACAATTGCATGAAGGCAAAAAAATTGAAGTTAAACTAAAGTAGAATCGTCACGTGTTGCGTCATTCACGACACGCTGCAGTGAAAATACACAGTTGATAATCATAAATGATTATTATGTATTTGTAGCCTTTACTTTGTCATTTAGATATTAGGCTAATATAGCTAATACATCTTGCAGCCTGTGTTACCTTCATAAAAGCCTTATACAAGGCTGTTATTTTTTTGCGGCTCCAGACAGATGTTGTTTTTCGTTTTTTTGTCAAATATGGCTCTTTGAACTTTTTGGGTTCCCGACCCCTGGTTTAGTTCATACAAGAACTGATGATAATATAGCCTGACTCTCGCCAGACCCATGTAGTTCGCTGCACTTCACACATGAGTCTGGTACTGAGCCATAGTGGTTGGATTTCAGAAGGCAGGGCCTTGTAAAAAAAATCCTTGCATGTGATTGGATAGACCACTTGTCCGTTATCTTGAATTAAGTCTGCTTTCAACCACTCACATGGAAGCACACGGCTCCCATAGGTTGCCAAATCCCAGCAAAAATTTCCAACTCAAAATCCGCGAGAATACCCAAAAAAAGTCTCTTGGAAAAAAATATGCAGGAACCACCGAACCTGGCACCCCTGCTGCATAGTGTGTAAACAGGAACACTGAACCAGTGCTTCAACCAAACTTTACAGGAACATTTGACTCTTAAAACACACATATATCAACATAGAACCATCAACATCTCGCCTCAAATTGCATTAAAAGTGACCTCCGTGTCTTAATTCGATCGTATTTACTTTACGTGCGCCAACTTGGATTCCTCTCGCTGCTGCATGAGAGAAGCTTGAGAAGGCAGCACAAACCCCACGTAACACCGGCAATCCTGATTGGTCGATTAAAAAATAATCTGGGGAAGGCGTTCGCTATGGGCTCGATCCCAGACCCATAGCCAAACGCCTCTGGTGGAGCATGGCGGAACTACAAGGGTCTGGCAGAGCCAGGCTAATGATAATATGTGTTGAGCCCTGTTTCCACCAGCTCGGCCTGGATAGAACCAAATATTAACGGATGTAGTGACGCCTACCTCTGACGTTAAAACTAATGAGTCATCACTTTACCCATCTGCGGTCCTTTTTTAAAATGGCAGCGAGTAGCCCCAAGATGCATTTGCGCATTCGTTAGCTGCACGGGCCACATTCATTTAATGAGTGCCTTTAAAAGTCCACAGCGGCTAAACTAGACTGGTCCAAAAAATATCTACCCCTCAACTCCAACAGCATCTGGAACCAGGAGCCACTTTTGGACCAAGAGCGAGTTTTGGACCAAGACCAAGACCCCCCAGACTGGATTAAACCCGGGCCAAGCATGTACCAAAAATGTACCTGGTACCAGTAAAGTAGAGCCGGGGAAGCGCTCTTAATCAGGCGACAGTAGAGCTGAGGAAAGTAGAGTAAAGTAGAGTAAAGTAGAGTAAAGAAGATTAAAGAAGAGTAAAGTAGAGTAAAGCAGAGTAAAGCAGAGTAAAGTAGAGTAAAGTAGAGTAAAGTAGAGTAAAGTAGGGTTGGTGGAAAAACATGACCATGAGAATCCTCACCTCCAGTTTGACACTTTCCTTTTTGGTTGGTTGAATCTACGTTGGTTGAATCTGCGTTGGTTGAATCTGCATTAGTTGATGAAGGTCAAGTACACTTTAGTATTTTGATTTATTTCAATTAAAAAAGTTTGTGATCCAACTTTGAACACATAGGACCAATGGCTCCATGTGTTTCTTATTATTGCGTTACTTACTGATAACATTTAGCCATATCGTCTCTTCAAGGGTTATGTTTCGACTCCTGGACTTATAGAATCTACAGATGTACCGACCGGAGTCAGAGAGCTTTACTTCTTGGATTCTCAGAAACACCTCAGTTTTATTAGAGCTGATGTGAAATCTCCCGTCTGTAAATCCACAACAAAAGGAAGGTTCACCGTCAGATCCAAAAACTGATGCAATGCAGCGAGATTTAGATCCAGCCGACAGAAGAATCCAATCCACTTGAGATGCATCTTTAGAGTAATTTGAACACGACAAAGTGACATTTTCGCCTTGATGAACCTTAAAAAATTTTGATCGAACACCGACATCTGTAAATAAAAAAGACGTCACTAAAAGCTGTGAAGAGTTGGAGATAAAAGCTAAAGTGTATGTTACTCACAGAGAACAGAGAGCAGAAGGAGCCTGAAGGTCTTCATAGTGATGACTCTGGTCTGAGCCTCTAATACTCTGCTTTGGCTTTTTATATCTAAGACAATGGGAGGAGCATCAGTCTGTCTTTCATGCCATCCCCTAATGCTACTGGTTTCACATTTAAAGAAAAAGAAGAAGAATATTTACTTTATTGATCCCACAATGGAGAAATTCATTTGGATAAATATTCATATACACATATCACATCAAGGAAAACTAGCTTTTAACTTTGTTCTTTAGAGAAACTCCTGAATCATGAAGGACTTTCCTTTAAACAACAGATAATCCAGAACTGTGCTTCCTCACCCAAAAAGTTAAAGCTTTATCCATGAAAACATCAGTCACAAACACGTCCCCCCACCCCTTCTGTTCAAATGCTCCGTTTTCAAACCCGCTAAGACGAGTTCTTGACTATGACCTGGAACATGTTCAACAGAAGAATGATGAGGTTTTTACAAAGATACAGAACAACATGAAGAGGATTGTCTGTATCATGCCTCCAACCTCCTTTATGGTCCTTAAGTTGTTGGCGTCACCTTCAAAACAAACATATTGATTCTAAATTACTTTTGGGAATCGGTCAAATCTCTTTGTTTAGAACTAAATGTTTTGAATAAGATGGTTGGATATTAGAATATTCCAACAAGATGTAGTTTCCCACTTCTACCACTGGATGGGAGTGTTCTGCTCATTCTGATCATGTCTCTTCCATTCTACAAGTAAATCCTTATATTTATTATCACAGAAATATGAAATACCAAAGAAAGTTTAAAGCCAAAATGAACAAAAAAACATCTGTGTCATTGTTTAACCTTGTAACGATTGGTCTAGTCTTTTAAATCTATGTTTAATGATTTTTTATGACTTATATTAAAGCCATGGACAAAATCCAATCACAAAATAGTTTGAAATGGGCATTTTACTTTATCACTTTATTACTTTGTTCCACTCTGTCAGCGTCTACTTTCTATTCTCTCAGAGACAGATAAATGTGGTTAAACAGGAAGTCCAATGTGGTCTCAGCAACATGGCACAGACCTGACAACAGTTGTGTATCGAGATATAGTTCCATATAATGTCCATGAGAGAGACCAAAATCTGTACTATGTCTGGAGTTTGCAGGTTCTCCCCCCGTGTCTACGAAGGTTATCTCCGGGTGCTACGGTTTCCCCGACCACTAAAGTCATGTACAATAGGTCTTGCATGTGCCTCCTGCGACATTTCCACCATCTCTGTGAGGAGTGAGAGACAAAACAGAAGAGAAAGAAGAGTCCAGTTGCTACATGCATCAGTATCGTCCTGCTTTGGTCCACACAGCATCAGGGCTTCAATACGAGACTGTCCAGAGACTTCATCTTGTACTCGAGTAAACCACATGAGGCTCCATCTGTCTGAGTGAACGCTGTGGTCTTTGTGCAGCTCTAACTCAGCCTCATGTTCAGTCAAACAGAAGCAGTGTCATAAAAGCAGCCATCGTCTACGACGACCTCGAGCAGAACTGTGGACACAATCTATTCACATTTGTGGACTGTGTTTATCCTGCTCCCTCTGGACCAATGGCTCTTTGTGTTTGTTATTATTGCATTACCTGTTTTACTTTACCTCGGACCTCTCTGGTGTCTCACTGGACCTCCTTCCTGACCCCTGACCTCTCTGGTGTCTCCTTGGACTTCCTTCCCGACCTCTCTGGTGTCTCCTTGGACCTCCTTCCTGACCCCTGACCTCTCTGGTGTCTCCTTGGACCTCCATCCTGACCCCTGACCTCTCTGGTGTCTCCTTGGACCTCCTTCCTGACCCCTGACCTCTCTGGTGTCTCCTTGGACTTCCTTCCTGACCTCTCTGGTGTCTCCTTGGACCTCTTTTCTGACTTCCCTGGTGTCTCCTTGGACCTCCTTCCTGACCTCTCTGGTGTCTCCTTGGACTTCCTTCCCGACCTCTCTGGTGTCTTCTTGGACCTCCTTCCTGACCCCTGACCTCTCTGGTGTCTCCTTGGACCTCCATCCTGACCCCTGACCTCTCTGGTGTCTCCTTGGACCTCCTTCCTGACCCCTGACCTCTCTGGTGTCTCCTTGGACTTCCTTCCTGACCTCTCTGGTGTCTCCTTGGACCTCTTTTCTGACTTCCCTGGTGTCTCCTTGGACCTCCTTCCTGACCTCTCTGGTGTCACCTTGGACTTCCTTCCTGACCTCTCTGGTGTCTCCTTGGACCTCCTTTCTGACCTCACTGGTGTCTCATACACAGAGTTATAATTAATGGTGAACCTTCAGCATCATTGGAAACGTCTCAAAGCAACAGTTGTTTATTACTTGTTTGTGAAACTTTAGTAAGACAATTCAAAATCAAATGTTTGTGTTTATGGTTGAAAACACGTGCTTCTATTTGATGACGGTGTAGACGACGTGTGTGTGCTCCGGTGTGTTTGGACGCCTGCTCCTCAGAGACGTGGCCATGAACACACGAGCAGCCACCAGAGAGCCCTGATCAACACACACAACATATTCACCTCCACCTCACTTTCACACATGGTATTTTAGATTTCAAAACAGAAAATCTTACCTCTGCTGTATCAACCGTTTGGTCTTTGGCTGCTGCCAAAACATAATAAAGAAACACACTTTACAGTCTGGGTTTCTCTGATCCGTAATCAATATTTAAAACGTTACCTTTTTGGAGGCAGAGGATTGTCACGCTCAGGCCAACAGTTATCAATAAAAAAAATTGTATAAAGCGCTTTTCATACAAAAGATGCAACACAAAGTGCTTTACAGTTTGGTTAAAAACAATCCCTCCGGCCCATGACCCCTTCCCCCGACCACACAACAGACTTGGCAGGGTTCAGATGCAACCAGCTGAAAAAGCGTCATCCAAGGAGCCGTCTGCACCAGGAGAAGAGCCGCCTGTAGCCACAGGGGACGACACAGGACCCAGAGGAGACACGAAACCGAGGCCCCAGACCCCCACCAGGTCCAAGAGTCGGACCCCCGCAGCCACACCGACCACTGCTCCCAGTGCAAAGGGCTCCTCCAGAGGAAACACTGGGTACACTAAAAACAATACAATAACAGTACAATAAGTAAAACCATTAAAAGAACTTTAAAATTGATCCTGAAACACACGGGGAGCCAATGCAGCGATTTTAAAACCAGTGTAATGTGGTCCCGACCCCTGGTCTTAGTCAGGACACGTGCGGCCGAGTTTTGGAGTAATTGAAGACTTGCAACATTCTTTTTGGGAAGACCAGAGAGCAGGGCATTACAGTAGTCAATGCGACTGGTGATAAAAGCATCAGCGTCTCCGTGTTGCCCCGAGAGAGAATGGGGCGGACTCTGGCGATGTTCTTTAAACGATAAAAACCTATTTTTGTGATATTCTTAATGTGAGGAATAAAAGTCAGCTCAGAGTCAAAGATTACGCCCAGGTTTCTCACTTGTGATGATGGATTAAAAGATTGTGATTGTAATTTTGATAAAAGTTTCTCTCTCTGGACCGATGACTAAAACCTCAGTTTTGTCCTGGTTAAGCTGGAGAAAGTTTTCTGCCATCCTGGATTTCAGGTCTAAAATGCAGTTAAAAAGAGCATCCATTGGCCTGGTGTCATCAGGAGACATGGAGATGTACAGAGCTGTGTATCATCAGGAGATGTACAGCTGTGTGTCATCAGGAGATGTACAGCTGTGTATCATCTGCATAACTGTGGAAGTTAATTCCATGTCTCCTGATGACACCGCCCAGAGGGAGCATTTACAGGTTAAAAAGGACTGGACCTAAAATGGAACCCTGGGGCACACCACATGTGATTTTATGGACCTGAGAGGAGCAGGTATCCAAACTTACCATGAAGGATCTGTCTGTTAAATAAGAAGTGAACCATTTGTGGACAGCACCAGAGAGGCCAAGGTGTTTCAGGCGGGAAAAAAGAATGGTGTGGTCTACTGTATCAAAAGCGGCGCTTAGATCCAGTAGAACCAACACAGTCACCTTTTTAGAATCATAACTTAGTCTAAAATCATTTAAAATCTTTAAAAGAGCAGTCTCTGTGCTGTGGTTCACCCTAAAACCTGATTGAAATTTCTCTAACATTTTCTGGTGATCTAAAAAGGCATTGAGCTGGATAAAAACAAGTTTTTCTAAAATTTTGCTTAAAAATGGTAAGTTGGATATTGGTCTGTAGTTAAAATCATTAAAATCCAAATTGCTCTTCTTCAGAAGGGGTCTCACCACAGCCGCTTTGAAGGATGCAGGAAAGACCCCAGTCTGAAGAGAGCAGTTCATCAGGTTTAAAAGCTCCTCTCTAAAAGATTCATAAAATAACTTAAAAAATGGGGTGGGGACCGGATCTAAAAGACATGTGGTGGGCCTCACTGAGGAGAAAACTTTATCAAGCATCTCAGCATCAACCAGGACAAAACTGTCCAGTGTTTCCTCTGGCAAGGACAAACAATCAGATGTGTTAAAAACAGTTGTGCGGTTGGATAAAATGCTACATCTGATTGTATTTATCTTCCCTGTGAAGTGGACTGCTCCTCACAGAGGGAGTCTGTGGGGGTTAAAAGAGACATGCTTAAATCAGGGTTTAAAATGGTGTCAATGGTTGAAAACAGGACTTTTGGGTTATTTTTATTTTGGGTGATTAGTTTTGCAAAGTATTTGTTCTTATGATTTCTAATTGTGTAATTGTATGCTTTTTGATTGTTTTTATATATTTCGTAGTTGATTGTTGTTTTGTTTTTCTTCCATCTTCGTTCTGCCACCCTGCACTCTTGTTTCATTTTCCGTACTTTCTCATTTCTCTCCATGGGGGTGCAGATTTTGTATTTATGATTTTTGTTTTTAAAGGAGCGACTTGATCCAACGCGGAACTAAGTCTACTGTTAAAATCATTTGCTATAAAATCACAGGGGGCAGGTAAAACCAAGTGGGGAGTGTTGTTTAGGATGTCGATAAAATTTCTATTTCTATGTCGCTTCCTCACGGTTCTCACAGAGGTCTCACGCTGAATAAAACCAGTGATGTTAAAAAACACACAGTAGTGGTCCGAGACAGCCAAGTCGACAACAGAGGACACATCCGCAGTCAGGCCATAAGTAATGACCAGGTCGAGGGTGCGTCCTCTGTTGTGTGTTGGCTGTCTGAGGTGTTGGGTAAAATCCATGTAATTAAGAACGTCTAAGAAATCTAGGTTAAAATTGTCATATTGTAAGAATTGTGTAACTGTGATAAAAACGCTGAGAATTCAATAATAAAAAGGCTGCACTTTTTAGGTGGCCTATAAATTATTACTGTTAAAATTTTGGGGTTGCTAAAAACAAGAGAGTGATACTCAAAACTTGAGTATTGGTTAAAAACAATAGGTTTGGTGGCCAGGGCGTTACTGCATATTGAGGCTGTGCCGCCACCTCTCTTTCCTTCTCTTGATTTAAAAGCAAAGTTAAAATTGGGGGGGGGAAGCCTCTGTAAGAACAGCCGGAGCATCCGGACCCAGCCAGGTCTCAGTTGAAAACATACCATCCAGTTCGTGTTCTAAAATTAAATCATTAACAGTAAAAGTCTTATTTAAAAGGGAGCGTACATTTAAAAGGGCAAACCTGATGGTAGATGGGTTGTTATTATTGATGGGGAGTCCAGAGTTCGAAGTGGGGGGAGCAGAGGATGAGAGAGGGCAGGGGGAAACAGTGATGAGGTTGGTGAAGGACGGTTTCCTGGGTATGGACGGTCTGTAGGGGCGGGGTCTGGACAAAACTGTAATTTTGTGCTGGGGAAGAGAGCAGGGGTTGATGCTGGGGCACAGACGGGCAGGAGGGATGTGGGGTGTGGGGGTGGGTTGTCAGAGGTATGTAGGATGGGATTGGACTGCGTGGGTGATGTTGGAGATCAGGTACCGGTTGCCAAGTGGGTTGATGTGACGTCCGTCGGGTGTGAAGAAGGGGTAGCGGTTCCAGAACAGATTAAAATTGACTGTAAAATCAAAGTTGTGATGGAGTGATGTTTGATTGAGCCAGGTGTTGAGTGATAAAATTCTGCTAAAACGCTCCCTGCCGCGGTTCAGAGTGGTCAGAGGACCAGAGATAAAAACAGTTTTTCCTGAGTTTGATAAAAGGTTAAAAAGATCCTTAAACTGGCGTTTTGTGGTCTCGGATTGGCGGAGTGAAGCGTCATTTGTGCCGACATGAATTATGATCCGGTTATTGTGTTATGACAATACACAGAGCAGTGACTCCGCCCAGAACGACAGGGACCACATGGTCAGTGGGACACCTGGTCTCAGTCTCTGTGAGGCAGAGAGCAGTCAGTACAGTGTTTAAAGTCTCACAGTCCAATCCCACGACAGCTGCAGCAAACGCAACCCGTAATCTGGAACAATCTTCCTGAAAATGTGAGACTGTCCTCTTCTCTGAATGGTTTAAATCCAAGTTAAAAACAGTTCTGTTTAGCTGTGCATACAACTGAGGATTTTATATTTTCATCTTTCTTTTTAATGTACTGTGATTATTTGTGATTTTAATGCTATCTTTTGTTCAGCACTTTGAGTTTCCTTGTATATGAATTGTCCTATACAAATAAACCTGCCTTGCCTTGCCCTCTCTGGTATTAACCATCACCAGTAAGAACCGGCAAGAAGTTCAACCAAAAACTGACACAATGCAGTGAGGTTTAGTTCCACTCACAAGTTTAACCCCTTAAGGATCACCTAATTTCGCCTGTTTCTTCTCGAATTATGATACCCAAATAGAAATGCTTACTGTGTGGACATCTTGTGTCTGATCTTGTGTTATGAGACCTCATTTGAAAGGTAACACCTTCTAGTTTCTGGAAATGTATGTTACAGTTTGTTAGGAAGGACACAGTCTGCACTACACCTTCTCAAACATGAGTAAAAGTTAGTTTTTTTTGTCTCGAAAAAAAAAAGGCAATTTCAAAAGGTTCTCCTGAAGACATACTTTATGATATGTTGTTCAAACTCACCAGAGCAGATGTCTGTGGTGTTGGCAACAACTGTATGAAATTTTAGACCTTTAGGTGAAACCATTTTGATGCTGGGGGCTTTTTTGTGACTAATGGGCACATTCGGCACAAGCGGTCCATTTTTGTGCCAATTGTGCCAAAGTGTTTTACATGCAAATTATCAACATTATTACACCAAAAATCAAATTATATCATTTTTTGGCTATTACTCTTGCTATAAATAAGATTTTTTCCAGATATTGAAATGTTTACAGAAAAGCTATTATTTATATAGATATAGCGCGTGTTCTCCGTGAAAATGCTCCGCTTTCCTCTATTACGCATTCAAATAACACTCGAACAGTGGGAGGAACCTTGAAGTCCGACACATCGCCTGAAACCTGAGATTATTGGCTACAAGATGGTTTGATTGACATCCAAATCGGCCAATGGTAGTCAAGACAATGCTGTCGTGACGCACAGATATCTATATGACTGGAGCGGTAAAGTTAGGTGCGCTTGTTTTACTCAACTCACTCTACCTTCCAAACCATAGCACTGAGAAGTCCGAGTGAGGGCTTGTTTTGAAGGGAAGACTGAGAGGAAGACAAACATACCCAGTGACGCTAGCTAAACAGTAAAATGTCCTCTTCATACA